AGGACGTAGGCACAGCGCACGTGTCTGTGATTAGTGACGAACACAGAAGTGCGGAAGAGGCACGTTTTATTATGGATGGATGCACTTTATACACCCGCCCAGTGGCATTATAAAGCTTGGAAGAGCAAGGACAATTTTTAATATAACTCTGACTGGATTCGTCTGAAAGAAGAAAGTCATATACACCTAGGATGCCTTGAGGGTGAGTAAAACGTGGGCTAATTTTCATTTTTGGGTGAACTGACCCTTTAACGCAGGATGGATTCTAATTAGATGTCAGAGTTTATAGTTACTTATAATTTTAAAAGGAATTCCAATTATATCGTTCCTCTGTGCCATTATGATTATAGTTGTATTGTGTATCGTTCTTGATGTGAACGGGCCTTAACCTTAACCGTCTCCTCTCCTTCACCGAAAGGCCTCATGTGGAGTTAGTAAACATCCTGCTGGGATGCGGCGAGGAGGTGCGCGTCGCCATCGCCCACCGAATACGAACTCAGTGCGAGCAGAACTGGGGAGCTCTGTGCGGGAGTCTGAGTCTCTGTGCCCTCGGAAAGGTGGAGAACCAGGCCGCTTCCACCCTCGCCCCTGTCCCAGACATCACCACCCCCCCGGGAGCCAGCGGCAACTCTCTCCCCGTGAGCCCGCGTCTCCCTGAGGCCGACGGGGAAACGGTCTGGACACTCACAGAAGATGAAAATCAGTCGTCAGGTCCTCAAGACAACGACTCTGATGCCGAAAAAGAGCTAAAGAGGTCTCTGAACGCCACCAAAAGGAGGTGAAGGGAAGCGGGTTCTCAGTGCCTTTAGCCCACACGTCCTAAAAGGCTCGTTCACTGCTCTTCTTCCCTGCCTCGCTCAAGGACAAATAAGCTGCGGTCTCCAGTGCTTCTATAAGAGCTCCAGCGACGACAGGGTATTTCAGTGTGACGTTACATTTAGAGCTGCCATCGGTCATTGTGTTTGTTTTGTAGGTCATTCTGTGAGAACACGGACTGGTACAATATTTGAGAGGAGTCTCAACAAATTTGCAATATTTCAGTGGCGTTTCACCCTTTGTAGATGTATTTGTAGATTGTGGACTTAGTGCATTCCTCAGACTGCAGACTCTTCAGAACGCTTTGAGGGAGTCTGTCAGGCTGCAGTTCTGAATAGCATTATTACAAAAACTGAGCCTTGTGTTTTGTGATGACATCATTCCATCTGCTCAGTATTAGTCTGCTTTGAAGCAAGGCCATTTGGGTGAACATCACGGAAACATGTCCGGGTCACATTTCACCCCGAAAGAAAGAAAGGAAATCAAATAAAATAACAAAAAATAATTTATACAATGGATTACACTACTGTTTAAAAGTATGAGGTCAGTTTTTTTTATTTTTTATAAATTAATACTTTTATTCTGTAAGGTACTGATTGTAAAAATAGTTTTTGTTACAGAAAGTCATCAATGAATACAAAAAAATGTGCCATGGTTTCCACAAAAATAATAAGCACAATAAGAATGATTTGCAATGATCATAATATTTCGTTTTTCAGGATTCTTTGATGAATAGAACAGCATTTAGTTGAAACAGAATTTGAATTTTTGTAACAGTTGAAATCTGTCACTGTTGATCTCTTTAGTTTGTTCTTGCTGAATGCATGTATTGATTTCCTTTGAATTGTTAACTTTTGAATGGTAGTGTGTCAGCATCGATGATAAGAAGAAATATTTCTTGAGCAGAAAATCCGCAGATTAGAATCATTTCTGAAGGATCTTGTGACACTGAAGACTTGAGTAATTCCGCTTTGCCATCACAGAAATAAAATATATTCTAAAATATATTAAAATAGTAAATAACTCTTTTAAAATGGAATAATATTTCACAATATTATTATTATTTTTACTCTATTTTTCAATATTCAGGAGGACCATTAAATGTTTTGAATTGTGGCATTATTTCAAGGGGGGGAAAAATAATTTTTAAAATGATTTTTAATGGTAAATCTTTTGGCTGCATTTCAGTTAAAATAATACTGTAAATCATTAACATGAAGTCAGTACATGAAATACCATGCTTTAAATACCTTTAATATAGTGTTTTCTACTCTCTTCTGATCTGTTTCTCTTGATTTGACAAAAATAATAAGCACAATAAGAATGATTTGCAATGATCATAATATTTCGTTTTTCAGGATTCTTTGATGAATAGAACAGCATTTAGTTGAAACAGAATTTGAATTTTTGTAACAGTTGAAATCTGTCACTGTTGATCTCTTTAGTTTGTTCTTGCTGAATGCATGTATTGATTTCCTTTGAATTGTTAACTTTTGAATGGTAGTGTGTCAGCATCGATGATAAGAAGAAATATTTCTTGAGCAGAAAATCCGCAGATTAGAATCATTTCTGAAGGATCTTGTGACACTGAAGACTTGAGTAATTCCGCTTTGCCATCACAGAAATAAAATATATTCTAAAATATATTAAAATAGTAAATAACTCTTTTAAAATGGAATAATATTTCACAATATTATTATTATTTTTACTCTATTTTTCAATATTCAGGAGGACCATTAAATGTTTTGAATTGTGGCATTATTTCAAGGGGGGGAAAAATAATTTTTAAAATGATTTTTAATGGTAAATCTTTTGGCTGCATTTCAGTTAAAATAATACTGTAAATCATTAACATGAAGTCAGTACATGAAATACCATGCTTTAAATACCTTTAATAATATAGTGTTTTCTACTCTCTTCTAATCTGTTTCTCTTGATTTGGGGTGAAATCTGGATCTGGACGTGTTACTGACAGGTTTAGGTGAGATCCACCTCTTTGGACTGTTTTTGAGCACAGGTAAAGCCTCAGCAGCAGATATAAGCTCTTATATGCCACGTGCTTCATGCAGTACACACAGTGTTGCAACGTGACATCTAATATGTAATATAAGATTTCATATTTTTCTTGCTTCGAATTTAGAATAGACATTTTTCATACGTGATAAAATGCCTTTCTTAATAGACTGCAGTTACATACACAAACATTTTAAAATATGACGGAATATGCAGATCATTGATTTTGGACCTACCTCATCTCTGTAACATGCACCTGTACTGAAATACTGTATAATATATTGCATAAAACATGTTAGAATGGGTCCCATATTTTCACAAGGCAAACTGGCCAATGCCTAGACTCACTCCCCTCTGTTTCAGTGTGTTTCTTGTAAATATTTTACATTATTATTATTATTTTTTATTTAAATTAATTTCTTCAAATTTATGCATGAAGTGTATCTTGTGGATTTTCAGGTCAGGTTCATTTCAGCCACTATAGAGTGCTGGTAAGTCATTTTATATACATGCTTGTACTATTTATTTTATTTTACTTTAGTTATTTTATCAACTATTTACATTTTTTATCTGGGATCTGTATCAAAGTAATCAAATGTATTCATTGAAAGAAATAACAAAATCCACAATAAATTAACCTTGTATCCGATTTTTGGCCTTTTGTGGATTCAAAACATGCATAAATCATCACCGCTTCTGAAAGGTTATAAAGAAACTATAATGCAATAAAACAAAATAGCACCCTAGTTAGTTACCCTCAGAAAACAAGTGCGGCAAGACCACGATGTTTGTTTTGTGCAACACAGGATAATTTCGACATACTGCAGTATCATAGCAAAACTTAAGAGCAAAGAGCTCTACTGCAACAGAAGAAAAGCTTGGTGTAATTGATATACTACAAGATACAGGGCCTAAAGCGATACATGTGACTGCATTTCTAGATCTAATCATTTTTGGAACTAGAACTGTATAATTAAAATGTTTTAATGTTTTTGAAAGAAGTCTCTTGTTATGCTCACAATGGCTGCTTATATTAAAAAAGTAATGTATCAAAAAGTAAAGTATTAAAATATAATTTCTTCCTGTGATGCAAAGCTGAATTTTCAGCATCATTACTCCAGTCTCCAGTGTCACATGATCCTTCAGAAATCATTCTAATATGCTGATTGTTCACAATATTACTGCTTTTACTGTATTTTTGATCAAACAAATCCAGCCTTGGTGAGACTTCTTTCAAAAACATTAAAAAATCATTCTAAACTTTTAAACGGTTTTGTAAGTGAATAAGGGACAAAAACCGATCAGTTCTTCATAAAGTCACCTACTTCTTAAGTCACAACCAGACACATACTTCAGTAAAACAGAGATACTACACCCCCCTAGTGGTTCATTCCACTGAAGAACATGCGAGACCATAACAGCCCTAAAAGAGACTCTGAAAAACAATTCATGTAGTCAAGTTAAATCAGGTGTTTTCAACTCAGGAAACCCTGGCTTCACTGGAAGGACTAGAATAGAAATCAATTAGAGAGACTGCTGATGCTGTAAACAACATAAAATAAGCCAGCTGCGTCAACTGCAAGGTCAACAGTTTAGGAAAATTATGATTTTGAATTATTCCAAGTCTCTTATGCTCACCAATTAAGGTTGGACTTATCTGATCACAAATACAGTAGACTGTAATACGTGAAAAGTCATTAAAATTTAAAACAGTTTTGTTATAATACATTTTAAAATGTAATTTATTCCTGTGAATTTTCAGCATCATTACTCCAGTGTCACATGCTCCTTCAGAAAATGTTGTAATATGCTGATTTGCTGCTCAAGAAACATTTCTTATTATCATCAATGTTGAAGACTGTTTTTGCTGCTTGATTGCTATTTTATTTTTTTATTTTTTTATTTTTTTTTTAGAAAATATAATTTATTCCTGTGATGCAAAGCAGAATTCTCAGCAGCCATTACTCCAGTCTTCACATTCTAATATGCTGATTTGCTGCTCAATTATGATCAATTATTATTGATGATCAGTTATTAATAATAGTCAATCAATGTTAAAGACTGTTTTTGCTGCTTAATATTTTTGTGGAAACCATGATACACTACCATTCAATTTTTGTTTTTTGGTAATTTAGAAAGGATGTATATTGCCTATTGTCACTTTTTATTCATTTAATGCATCTTTGCTGAATAATACACACACACACACACACACACATATTTTCCACAAAAAAAACTGCATAAGCTGTTTTCAACACTGATAATCATAGAAAAGAGTCCTTTCAAATTGTAATGATATTTCACAATATTACTGTTTTACTGTATTTTTGAGCAAATAAATGCAGCCTTGGTGAGCATAAGAGACTTCTTTGTTTAAAAAAAAAAATCATAATAGTGTCAATTAAGCATAGCCTTCAGTTATATGCAGAAATGCCATTAATCATACTAATCAAACTTTATGCAGACATTGTTCATCAGGTTATTGGAATATTACAGAACTAACCTGAGATCAAAACATTTTATTATTGTACAAACAACTACACTGATTAAAATAAAATATACTACTGAATATGCAAATGCAATCATTGAGACCAATGTAGTAAAATGTACAAGACAGCAAAGTGCATTTATTCCTTCCTGAATTTCTGTTTAGTGATCCTGATCATTGAGATTTTATAATAGCACTTCAATATCCTCCCTTATTTTGTCCCCAGAGAATCCCGAAGCTTGTCATCATCTTTATGGTGGTGAAACCCCTCGTTTTGAAAGAACTACCGTCTCATTTGGGTTGTAACATTCACAGAACGATTTCTGGAAAGCAGTGTTAAGTTGACACAGTTCCCTCTTCCACTAAATGAAGGGGAAGAGTCTCTTTTTCAGGATGTAGAGCACTGTAGCCAGAAACAGAGCAAGAGCTAAAAAGATCAGCAGTTTGTCGGTCAGTTCACGCCGATTATATTTCAGGATAAGTTTTCGCCCCAAGTGAATGGTTCCCGTCATGGCCTTAAACTCTTCATTCGTCTCTTGCACAGTCCTTGAGGAAGAAGCTGGAAACAGAGCAAGCGGAGAACATAAACTTGCAATATTCATAACCAGATAGTAGAAATGTCATAGCCATGAGGTTAGATGTTGTTCAGAAGCCGTGTTCCATGTTCATGTTCCCAAGGTTGTTTTTTATCATCTTCAACCTGAATATATAAAATGAATCATTTATATCCAAACCAGACCAGATTTGCATCTCAAAACATCACTGATTCTTTTCCCTTAATCTGCAGGTTTAAAACAAACATTGAAATACTTTCACAAGCTGTTTTTCACTAGCAATTTTTCCCCAAATTAGTTCATGAAAAAAATTAGATGTGACCCTGGAGCACATATTTGTAGTCATATATTTGTAGCAATAGCCAACAATACATTGTATGGGTCAAAATTATCGATTTTTCTTTTATGCCAAAAATCATTAGGATATTAAGTAAAGATCGTGTTCCATGAAGATATTTGTTAAATCTCCTACTGTAAATATATCAAAACTTAATTTTTGATTAGCAATACGCATTGCTAAGGACTTAATTCTGGAAGTCGTGGCCTAATGGTTAGAGAGTCGGACTCATAATCCAAAGGTTGTGGGTTCGAGTCTCGTACCGGCAGGGATTGTAGGTGGGGGGAGTGAATGTACAGCGCTCTCTTTCACCTTCAATACCACGACTGAGGTGCCCTTGAGCAAGGCACCGAACCCCCAACTGCTCCCCGGGTGCCGCAGCATAAATGGCTGCCCACTGCTCCGGGTGTGTGTTCACTGCTGTGTGTGTGCACTTAGGATGGGTTAAATGCAGAGCACTAATTCCAAGTATGGGTCACATGTCACGTCACTTTCACTTTAAATTTGGACAACTTTAAACGCAATTTTCTCAATATTTAGATTTTTTTGCACCCTCAGATTCCAGATTTTCAAATATTGTCCTATCCTAACAAACCATACATCAATGGAAAGCGTATTTATTCAGATATTCTCATAAATTTTATAGATGAATTGATTGACGGATGGGAGGATAGATAGATCATATAATGTATGTGTTGTTGATAATAATAAGAAATGTTTCTTAGGCACCAAATCAGCATATTAGAATGATTTCTGAAGGATCATGTGACCTGAGTAATGATGCTGAAAATTCTGATTTGCTTCACAGCAATACATTTTAAAATATAGTCAAATATATCTTATTTTACATTCATTTTATTTTAAATTGGAATCATTATTTGGCAATATTACTGTTTTCACTGTTCCTTGTTGAGTGTAAGTGATAAAATCTTACCAACCCCAAGCGTTTGAACAGTAGTGCATATAACAGTGTGTTTGGCTTGCTTGCTTTAGTTTTTTTTTTAGATACATTTATTTATTTATGCTTTCTAACCGTTTAATTATTGTTCTTTTTATTTCTATTAGTAACTCGGCGCACGAGACGGCTGGTCACGTGACGTCAACATGCAGAATAAACCAACCTTTTTCTTACTAATGAGATTTCTTTAGGCGTAAAACCTAGCGATAGCAATAAATCACCTACATATGTGACCCTGGACCACAAAACCAGTCATTAGGGTCCATTTTTTGAAATTGAGATTTATACACCATCTGAAAGCTGAATAAACTGTGCTCCAGGGTCACATATTCCTACTCGTATGTCAGCCAACTACTAATAGATTCACGTCCTTATATCATGAAGGTTATGATCTCAGGCCCAAAGCGCATCGGCTTTTTTACCCAGAGTTCCGATGGTCTCCTCGCTCTGCTGCACCTGCTGTGACATCATCCGGCTGATGCTCATCAGACTCTCTGTGATGTCACTGGATGTCTGCGCCAAACTCTCTTTAGTGGCCTTCCTACAACCACAACAAGATGCATTTAGTAAATATGGCTTAGGACAGTGTTGAGAAGTAAACACTATCCATTTAAATACCACATAAAGGGGGAAGCCTAATGGTTAGAGAGTCGGACTCGTAACCCAAAGGTTGTGGGTTCGAGTCTCGTACCGGCAGGGATTGTAGGTGGGGGGAGTGAATGTACAGCGCTCTCTTCCACCTTCAATACCACGACTGAGGTGCCCTTGAGCAAGGCACCAAACCCCCAACTGCTCCCCGGGCGCCGCAGCAAATGGCTGCCCACTGCTCCGGGTGTGTGTTCACGGTGTGTGTGTGTTCACTGCTGTGTGTGTGCACTTTGGATGGGTTAAATGCAGAGCACTAATTCCTAGTATGGGCCACCATACTTGGCCACATGTCACGTCACTTAAATGTGCAATTGTTGCTTTCTTTGTGGTCCCACTTTATATTAGGTGTCTTATTGTACAATGCACTTATTGTGTTCATATTGTATTGCACAACACGTTTGCTGCTATTGAGGTGGGATACGGGTAAGGTTAGGGACAGGTTTGGTGGTTTGGGTAGGTTTAAGGGTGGGTTAAGGTGTAAGGGATGGGTCAACAGTGTAATTATAAATGTAATTACAGAAATTAATTACAGATGTAAGGTATTTTTTTAATACAAGTACAATGTAAAAACATGTATGTACGCAATAAGTGCATTGTACCAAATGATTAATTTTAAGGCCACTTAATATAAAGTGGGAGCTTTTTTTTGTTTTCAAAACTCATTGAAACGTTGAAATGTCAATCACTATGATTTAAATGTGACTGGCTGGAAATAGCAGCTGTAAAGCAGCATGATTTACCTTTGTCTAACTGAATCACCACCTTGAAGCAGTTCGTCCTTCTCCAGGTTGTCAATGGCCAGCTTGCAGGCCAGATTTGCCTTCCTCCACGCCATCTGGTTACTGAAACACAGGAGTAGAGATAATACTGTAATTCAACACACAAACAGAAAGAAGACTAGACAATAAAAATGGTTTTCTAACCTTAACATCTGCTTCCGATGGCCTTCCGTTTCACTCAAGATAGCTTGTTTATCAGTCTCTCGGTCTTGTTCTTTTGCCATCTGTTCCATGTCCTATCAAAAAGTTTGGATTCGCTATTATCCGCAATGTTAACCCTGTAAAGCCTTTTTAATGGAACAATTTATTGAACCTTGAAACAAAAAAAAAATAGTACATGTGTTTTATATCGCAATCGATACATCAGTTTTTTATGGTTCATATAGTGTGATATAAGAGAATATGAAACTCACACCTGAGGAGGGAAAAAAACACCTCAATTTTTCAAGTCCAAGTAGAGCAAAATATGCAGTTTGGTGCAGATGTTGTTATTCATATGGTCAAAGAGTACGAAGAAATTGATGTTGAATTTGATTCCATATTATTATTATATCTTTACAGTTTTATGTTCCGCAGTTTTGACGGAAACATGAATATTTTTTTATCTATATTGTCATATGAACTGACGAAAGTACCTGAATCCTCTGTCTTAACTGATTGAACTTTTCCTTCACTGTAGAGTTCAGATCTAAAAGCACTGCCTGTGGCCCGCAGCACTCTCTTATGTCCTGACACAAAAAGAAAAGACTTATTAAAACAAGAATGTATTGTTTCCACTTCATGCTGACTGACACAGACACGACGATTATAGCCACATCTTTGAATTACTATAACGTTAACATTAGTTAGCTTGTCAGACAAACCTGACAGTAAGACCATAGCAGATACATTAATATAAAGAATGAAGTCTACCTGAATAAAAGCTTTGATTTCCAGATCATATTTGATAATCTCTTGGCCACATATTCTGACCAGTACATCAGAGGACGCCATGTTTGTTGTTATACGATACGTCAGAAGGTCCAAACTTCAGCGCATTTTCAGAACGCCTTTTCGATGCGCCCTGCAAAAGTGTTCTGAGAGCAAAACTGAGCGCATAATACTTCTTTACAACTAAGAATGCGTATATGATTGATTAAGTTAATCAAAAGTGACAGAAAATACCTTTTTAATTCTGCAAAAGTTCCCATAACGTTCTATTTAACAAAGAGTCGCTTCAGAACAGTAAATGTTCACCATGAAATATTGATAACAATATAAAAGTAATTCTTACATTTATTATAAATTTACAAATAAATACCCACAAAAGGTCATCATCATACCGTATCATTATACCATTATTATAATCGATATTATCCAAATTAAAAAAATAAATAGCCTAAAGGATGGATGGATGGATGGATGGATACTATAACATGAAGGAGAACATTACCTCACAACTATTGACAGTATAATAGTGGAAAGTTTGTGGTTTCATTTTGACTTAGAAATGCATTACTGTTGCCAGAAACACTAGGCATCCAAGAACTGAGTGAGGAAGAGAGAAAGAACTGGAGGAAGAGAAGAAAGGAAGAACAGAATGAGGTAGCTGGGTCACTGAGCCCAATCATGTCATTTGTGAAGCATGCGAGCCTGCACAATTTAAATGTATGTGACTCTGAGTTAAGAAGTATACTGGGGTTCAATAGTCTAGTGAAAATGCTTCTTACATTTATTAAGGTAATCTAGTAAAAATGCACAACAGATGAAGAGCTGCAGTTTCTAATGTTTATTTTGATAGTAAAATCAATAATAGAATTAGACTATCATGGTTACAAGCAGAATTGAGGTACCAACTCCGGGCTGATACAATGCAGTGACATAATTAAGGATAATACAAAAAAACTGAAATCAAATAATAAGAGGCACAATAACACAAAACAGACACATTTTGAAGATCAATCACAACTGCTTTTAAGCCTACTTCACATCTGTACACTAGCAAGGCTCGATAAACCAAGCTGTTCTCCAACTAGTTGTGCCGAAGGGAAAAAAAAACAGAAAGAAATAAAAGTGAAAGAAAATGTCCACTGTATGTCAAAACCCAGCACAACACTGAAACATAAATAGAACAACTGTCAAGATATTGCTCTTTGGATAGTCTCTCAACCAAAACATATGGGACACAGTCTTTACGTTTAATCATATTGAACTCCACTGAAGGAAGACTACATTCATCTTTCAATGAAAACTGTATGAGGGCAAAGCAGCAACAGTTCTCATCTGAAGCAAGCTTACTGCTGGACACAGCAGAAAACCAAACAAAAAAAAGAATAAGAGGAAACTTGTGATTTAATTCTTGGCATAATGGGCAAAATCTCGTTTCTGTAGAAAATGTCAATAGATCAAGTTTGGGTTTTCATGTCTGAATAAGGCACCTGATTTTGCAGGCATCATTTCAAAAATAACATTGGAAATTCTCTAAAACCAAGTGCAATGTGGGTCTTCTCAGCTGAAAGCTGGAGTGCGATGGAGATGATTTACACCAAAGTATCTACGTTTCTTTTCCCCGCTTGTGCTCATTGGTTTGAATAAAGACAGCGAGACCATTATTCTGTCCCGATGTCTGTTGCAAAAGCCACATGAAAATCAATTTAGCAAGGTTAGCATGCACGATAGTCATGCCGTGTATATGCAAACATATCCATGGTTTCAAATATCATATCTAAAGGGATCATAAATGGAACATTTACAAGCAGCTGGAGTCATGATACGTAGGAATGCGTGTTCTGCTGCTAAACCTCGAAGCGCTATATCATCTAAAAAGCTCGAAGGTCTTTTCTACTTTTGAAGAACACACAAGTTGAAACGATTACACAAGATACAGAGTAACAAAATGCACAGAATGGTAAAATGATTCATCATCAAGGGTCCATTAAACAACAGCGAACAAACAAAAAAAAAAAAAAACTACAACATTCAATAGGTTAAATACATTGGAAAGAGCATGTTAGCACTTAGCAATGAAATACAGCCTTCCTACTGTGACTAGAACCAACAAAATAAAAATACAAAATAAAAATAAAAAAGGAGAAAGATTTTACACTTGGGGAGTACACACACAGTACTAGCTACTTAAGGAGCCCATGCTAAATTATCAAGTAGAATACCATACAACATTAGAAGCACAAATATTGTGTATTTTTTTCATTTTTTTAGTTATTTTTTTTGTTATTTTTTTTAAACAATTGACACTTCACGTCAATCGTTGTAAATTGAATGTTGTATGGATTTTCAAAACTAGAGAAACTAAAAGAAATCGAAACAAAAAGGATTTGGTGGCCCTGGTTACATTTCCGCAAACCCACTTCTAATGTTGAAGGTCAATTTAGTCGCTCGATGAAAATTTGGCAAAAGGTCGGAAGGGAATGTAAATCACTGCAGTGTAGAAAAGTATGCGAGCGTTCTTCGACAACCTTTTTGGTATCGTTGGTTTCAGAGTAGTGATTCGAGGGAGTCTGGTGCACTTCAGTGCAAGAGATCTGGGCCCAACAGTCCAAGTGACCCTACTAGCTTCTCCATGTCTTCCTCAACAGCAAAATAATTAAACAAACAAGCAAACAGACAATCAAAATAAGCTATCACCGCTACATTAGCACGGCCCTTTTCCCGCCCGACCACTGGTTCGGTCCAAGTCCAACATGAGCGCCCGGTGTGGGGTCAGGTCTTGGCACAGGTGTTGCAGTGGCTTGAGCAGATGTCGTAAGAGCAACGTTATTCCGGAACGGTTTCTAGCGTAAGATCGGGGAAGGAGAAGAGTGTGGGGTCAGGTCTTGGCACAGGTGTTGCAGTGGCTTGAGCAGATGTCGTAAGAGCAACATTATTCCGGAACGGTTTCTAGCGTAAGATCGGGGAAGGAGAAGAGTTCACGGACCTGACAGCGCGTGCCAAATCACAGCTCTGAGGGTGTTCAAGTACGTATTTTCAAATTCAGCACCATGGGTGGTGAGACAGGACTCCTACCCAATGTCCAAGTTTTTTTGAACCCAATAAAACGAAGAGCTTCTTCCCCCCCATTGCTGTGAAGGGAGCCATGCAGCAGAAACCACCAAAAGAAGACTCAACTTTTCTCTGAGGGAGTGACTGAGTGCAAGGAAAGCGTCCCGACCGGGGCGAACGGGGATTTCCGTCAGCGCTTCGCCAGTCCACCGAGACTTCCCGACCGAATTCCATCTCAGGACGATCTAGGCCGAGCAATGCGCACCTCTGTGTCATGTTTGTGTTCGTGGAAAACCTTGATTCTGTTCGTTGGAGAACAACTGCTGAAGGCCATTTCAGTTCGTTGGTGAGTGACTCTGCTCCAGGTCATAGCCGGCGATCTGAGGAACAGTAGAACCAGAAGAATCGGGAGGCACAATAATCTTGAGCATTGGTGAGGGGACACAATGTTGACGAGGTTTTACATTGTCTTTGCAAACTTCTTCCACTCGGAGGGCTTCGGAGGAATCCATCACGGCGTACGTCGAGCGTTTAAAAGTTACAATGTATCATGTACAAATGGATTAACCTGCTTCTACCAAGGTCAAAACAAAGGCAGAGACAATTCCAACCAAGAAGCTTCTTCTTCTTCAGGGCTTCGGAGGAATCCACCACTGCGTACATCCAACGTATACATAAAAGTTACAATGTATCATGTACAAATGGATTTACCTGCTTCTACCAAGGTCAAAACAAAGGCAGAGACAATTCCAACCATTGGAAAGAGCATGTTTATTTAGCAACAATAAGACAGGCCGCCTTCCGTGAAATGCTTATCAAAAGATTTCTCAGCTTAGTCACCAAGTTGTTTACCATCGATAACCACTATTACAATATTATTTAAAAAAAATTCACGTGCTGTAAACTAAAGCAACATCCTGTCTTTCTACAGAGTGAAACCTGCATAGTGCACCAATAAGAGTAATCTTTCTTGTATATAGCAAACACATATCTACACAAACCATTGGAAAGGTGTAAATGCTTGTTTGAATGCTCTTGAGTATATACTGTAGCCATTTTAGAAGGATTCAAAGCGAGTTATCCATTGAGATCGAACTGTGTTTGATGAATCCGCGGTATAAAGATAGTGGCATAAGATCCATCTCTCGATAAATAATAGTTTACAATATAAAAATCATTGCTCGTAACTTGAATGTAACAGGGAATGATCTTTGATTCTCTATACAATTTTAGAAACATGATTTAGCAGCTTTGCATCCAAAATTATTGAATCATCAACAATATGCAGACAATAAAAACAATCAATCAATCAAAGAATGGATGTAATAGCTAGCTTAGTCTTTTTTTTTCAGGATATTTTCAGCATCTCAAGGTATGGGTGATTCAAAAAAAAACAAAAGCAAACTAAAAGACCACGCAAATTGTTCAGAAACAGAAAGCTACAATATTTCCCTTTGAAAAAGCAATATGATGCTAAATAAATGCAAAATATATTAAATGTGGTATAAATAATGAATTATATTTACTTTTTGTGAACTGGTATTTTTTTGTTTTCGATGCATATATCTGTGTTTTTGAAGGCAGAAATAATTATAAAATAATCACAATTAATTCTTACGTGACAGCCCATTATGAATGTTAATATCGAATCACACTATGAAGCAAAACAAACACACATATACAAATGTGTGCGTGTTTATACATGTGTATGTGTTCTTTAAATATCTTTCTTTATATAAAAAAAAAAGAAAGAAAAGAAAGAAAGATAAAATACTGGCTTTTTCTTTTCCTTAACTGTTTGAATGCCACAGAGTCCCCTGGTTAAAACACTAAACTGCACAGCTCACAACATCATGTTGAATGTGAGAGCTTGCGACAGCACACTACGATAACTACCAAACGCTCTCAAAACAGCACGCCGTCGACGGAAGGACAACATGCATTTCCATCTCCGTATGCTCATTGTCACTCGCCATCAAGCTTATTTTACAGGACAATCATTACCATTTTGAGCTAATGCCACTCTGAGAAGCTTTGAGCTGTAGATGGCACAAGAAAAGCCGGTCTTTGTCGCCATAACAAATGGCTTTGCTGTCTTTTGAGAATGGATGGGTTCTTAAAGACGAAAATAAAAAAAACTTTAAAAAAAAACATAGTCCAATTGATTCCCCATGGCAAATGGAACTGCCTTACAGTACAGTGATATTTATATATTATTATTTATTTTTTCTGAGCTACTTTTTCAAATAACTCCGATTTCCCCCAGTAAGTAAAAAAATTACGTTAAAAAATCCACGACAACGATACCCATCTCTGGCCAGAGAGAATGTGTCAACACTGTACATCGACCTGAAGAAAAATCCAAAGCAGAATTTGTATTTTTCCATAGGAAATGTCTACTGAAGGCAAACGAAGGTTGTGACGTCAGAGTCCTCACCACGAATGTCTGTCTCCGCTCAAGACCTCTCTGTCACACTGCCCTGGTCAAGATGGCAAAAGTCAAGTACACACCGCAGCATTCAAACGAGGTCGGTTTAGCAGCAAATATGAGGGGGAACGCTTTTTTGTTTTTTTCTTTTTGTCTAGACAAAGTGCTTTTGCTTTCTTACATGTAATATAGAACTTACTATACATTTATAGATATATAATATACTATATATATTTTCTATATATCTTCTAAAAAAAGAAGTTACAACACATAATGGACGGTATACAGAATCTTTACTATGCTACTAAAAGCAAAGAAAAATAGCTTTACAAAACTCTTAGTTTAGATTGTAAAGGAAACAATATTCTCCCTTATTTGATCAAAATGATATTTGAGAAACAACCTTCTCCACAAGCTTCAGCATCAAGAATAAAGTCACTTTTAAAAGGCCTTTAGCAAGCAGAAGGAACAAATTCGCAGCAGCTTGAGATTGTGGAGAAAACGGTCTAGGTCACAACTCAAATAAGAACTTGTATTTTCCATAATGAAAATGAAGCCTAATTTTAGGACTATTTAAGTTTTTATTACATTATTTTCATCACAGTAATGCACATTTCCTCTTCAATTCTCATTGAAGTCATTCTCATTTATGTCACGTAATCGTAAAGTACAATTGTAAGTATACATCATGGTAATGCGGTTTTGAATGGTTTGAACTACGGTATTGAGAATTTGAGCGTAAAGTGCATTTTTTATAGGCTTCGTTTTATGCAAAATATAATTTATAATTTTTTCTTCTTTTCGATTTCTGGGGTTAAAAACAACCTGGACTTTTTTATTGTGAGATTGTTACAGCCGATGATGTATATATATAAGTTATACATAAGATTGTGTTAAATACAGACAATCTATCGTTAAACAATTTGCAAAGGATCATCCGAATTCCCTTAGCAAGATAAGTGCTTTCGAAAACATTTCCGAATTTTCCGAGATATCTGTGGGTAGCACAGAAAGGAAATATAAAGGCAATCTCTACAAAAATATACGCAATTAAATTTTTCGTTCAACAATACTCAAGAGTAAGAAGTCAAGCATAGAAATGTTTCATGCCGAGTAACATAGCATCTTAATGTGTGCACGGATTAATGCGTATTCAAACTCTAAACAAGACAATGACTTGTATAATTTTTGTATATGCACTCTCCTCTCCAACTATAGGAAGAATAGCAAACCTTTTGGTTTTGTGATAATATCTTCTATGGGCAAAATAGAAGCATCTCCATTAACTTTATAGCTCGTCTTTTAAATACGCAACAAAACTTCGGTGGAGGGAAACCGAATGGCGGTACAAATATATATGAGAACCAAAGGAACAGTACAAAATTCGATGAGGATGCAAATGAACGCTTCTTTCTGCAGAGAATTGGACCCAAGCAAATTTCACAGTTCATTAGAAATCCCTGACCCTACCATTTTTCCTACATTCAATACGGTGTCAGGTAAGCTGTGCAAATTCCTTACTTAGACTGGCTAGTTGCCATTTTAAGTTGCATGTGTCTTTGGTACAAAAAACAAAACAAACAAAATATAGTGTGCAAATATCATTTTTTGTTGTTTTTTTATATGTGAATATTTCTTATATTACGACACCCCCACCCCCCCATCCCCTCTTAAACGAAGTACCGAAAAAAGTACATTTGCCAGAGCCATCTTATGATACAAAGCACAGACTCTGTGGCATATATCTATATTCTCCATGTTCCTATGTACATTCAGAGTATCTTTAAAGAGCTTCGACTTCTTGCTTTCTGCAAAATGGTCCATTTGCACTCTCTATTGAGTTTTATTTTTCCTCAACTCCGCAATTGCAAGGCACAATGAATCTTACATGTATAAAGTACAAATATAAACAAAACCCAGTCTGGGATTCAGCTTTTTAAGCCTCTTTCGCTGAGAATTTGCAAAACAACATCAAAGGTGATTTGACGTGAGGGCACTTCAACCAAAGTGTAGAAAGGAAAAGATTTCACCAGTGGATAATAATCAATCGATCTGCCTATTTACAATAAGGGATTTAACTGACCATCTGCTCAAGTCAAAGAAAGAAGAAGAAAAAAAAACTCTCACACACTCTCTCTCTCTTACCAACCTGAGACGATCGCAAATCTGTGGGAAAGGGCCTTTGAGGCCCGCTTACTCACATGCTACTCTCTTGAAACATCCCTGTTCTACATATATACACCGAACATCACTAACTTTGCGTTAAACATCGGTATTTGTGTTCCTTCTCAATTGATCGCCAAGCAATTGGTTCGAACAGGAATTCTCCTGGACACTTATGCCCTCAGTTGAGAGATTAGTAAGTCTATAAAGTAGGCCTAACAAGGGTGAAATCGTACACGCCGTGTTCAAAAACTCGGAAAGTCTGCATTTACACCTTTTTGACCACTAAACCTGCTCAATTGATCGCCAAACAATTGGTTCGAACAGGAATTCTCCTGGACACTTATGCCCTCAGTTGAGAGATTAGTAAGTGTATAAAGTAGGCCTAACAAGGGTGAAATCGTACACGCCGTGTTCAAAAACTCGGAAAGTCTGCATTTACACCTTTTTGACCACTAAATCAAAGGATCTAATGCCTTCGCAGTTTCTCTGCAGAGTGTGCCTCTGTTTCCCAAAACTCTCAATGGGCATTTGACAGATTTAGCTGGACGCAAGAGGAAAATGGCTACAGCAAGAACTGGTGCTCATTGTTTAGCTCTTTTCTCTCTCTTTTTCTCATTTGGTGGAGGTATCTCATATATTGGCTTTTAATATTTGCAACATGGCAGCCTGTTGATCGATACCAGCCACATGCACACATGGTAGGAAACGGACTACTGAGTGCAAAGGTTAACTACTAGTTTCATTTCCACTGGTGCGCACAAGGTGAATATACACATACGTATGCACGGACAAGCGGGTATCGTATGCGTGTATTCACTTTAAATGTGAGGATGCGTCTCCAAGTGAAATGGGCATGCAGAGTGTTGGGCCGTTACAGTGTGGGACAAGAATGGCGTGGATGGCTCCGAGGTGCCAGTCGGCGTGACTCTACACCTTCGACGTGGGCACACGCAACCCCACCAGCCCTCCGGTGGGATCTCCTTTCCCAGTGCTCTCCAGGATCTGATTCACAAAGTCTGAAGTCTGGCCGGCCACTGGTGGCTGCACTGTATAAACAAAAGAGAACGTATTAAGAAAACCATGCAAGTAATTAGTGCTGTTAAACGATTAATCGCGATTAATCGCATCCTAAGTAAAAGTTTTTGTTTACATAATATATGTTTGTGTACTGTGTATATTTTTTTATGTAAATGTAAATGCACATACATACAGTATATATTTTGAAAATATTTACATGTATATATTTATATTAATAGAATTAATATTCTTTATAAATATATTTAATATATAAACATAACATTTTTCTTAAATATGTACATGCATGTGTGTGCATTTATATATACATAATAGATATACACAGTGCACAGACATATATTATGTGAACAAATAGTTTTATTTTGGATGCGATTAATCGTGATTAATCGTTTGACAGCACTACAAGTAATACAATAAAACTGATAGAATTTCCATTAAAGTACAAAAATGTTGCCACATTGGTCATGTGTATACGTTTTTAGACCAGGAACTAAGACTGCATAGAGTAGCACAGTAGCCTGCCTTGATCGTAAAGGAATAGTTCATCAAAAAAGTGAAAATTCCCACATAAATACTGTGGCAAACCTGCATGACTTTATTCCTTTGAAGAATGGAGAAATGCTGAAGAATATACAGGCCACACTTTTCAGTTTAGTGAATGTGACTGGAGATCTGGGCTGTCATGTTCCAAAATGACAAAGAAGCACCAATAAAGCAACATCTTACTCCAAAGGTTGTTCCAAAATTTGAATGGTTCTTTTTGTCGTTTATATGAAGAATTGCTGTCAGGAAATTACTTTAAAAATCACTCGTTTCTTGTGTTCTATGAAAAAGTGTTGTGGGTGAATAAATTACAGAATTTTCATTTTGGGGTGAACTAGCCCTTTAAATGACTTTGAATTCAGTTGAGGGTTACTGAATTAAATTGTCTACACAATTTACAAAATCAAGTAATAGGACAGACAAGATTACTGGGCTGTTTACGTCCCAGTCTTGTGGGAAAACCTGGCTGAGATCATGAGCTTCCAACATGTTGAAAAAACATTCAAAAATATCATCTTATGTTCTTTTAAAGTTGTTTTCGTAGCTTATATAACAGTAGGATGAGGTTATGTCATGTGGTGATGCGCTGATTGTGATGTGCTAACAAAAATTTCTACAGAAAACAGTTTCAATACAACAGAGGTCACAGCACGGAGCGAAGCAATGCGAAGGCTCTTAAAATTCTTGAAGACACAAGGATAGCAGCTGCTGGAGAAGATGCAGCAGCTTGATCACGATTGTAAAGCAAGTAGATTTCTTGCAACTCAGCTTGCTATTAGTGGTGTGTTTGAGGAGAAACTTGCTCGTACAAGATCACACATAATTTGCATTTGCAATGTTAATTCTAAAAGCACTTTTACAAGTGTAGAACATTTTCTTACCTAAGGTATCCTCAATGAGTTTATCCAGCTTCTCTGTCATGCTTGTTCCTTTGTCATGCGAGATATCCTGTACTCTGCTGACGATCTCTTCTTTGATTGCATTGATCACAAACAGCAAACGATCTGAAAAAGAAGATATTCATATCTTGGTCTCATTCTTGGCATATTTGCATCGGTTATGAGTATGTGCAAAAACTTAACTGATCTAAACACTAGTCTTTCAAAGATAAGTAAAGTAGTTACACTCAGTCTGGTCAAGACAGAGACATTCTACAATACACAATCTCAAGCACTTCCTTTAATATTTAATTTCCATGTCTAAACAATGTACCATATTCAGTTCCAAGGCCCCATAACTTGACTTTGTTGGCTTCATACTGCGCTTTCTTTTTCAGCCTGCAGGCCCTAAGGAAGAAAAAACACACAAAGAAGAATCAAGTAGAGTATTTTGCTAAAAAAGTCATTTTGGCGCACTGTATTTCAGCATTTTAAATCACTAACAGCACACAATGTAGTTTAACTAGTCTAACTATAAAGGTACTACTTTATAGGATTTTAAGTTTAAGGGAAAACGTTGGGATGTGAGCTTTAAGAAATTAAAGCAGTAGTAGTTCAAGCAATAAGCAATATGGCTTTACCTGGATGCAAGCTTGTTCTTCTCCTTTCGAGACCGAGGCCGAGCGGTTAGGGGTAACTCACTAACCGGCGTCAGGTCACTAATGACTTTATTGAGTTTCCGGAGTTCATTGCCAATCTGAAGCAGCTTTCGAGGGTTTGGAGTAAGATCTTCCACATCCGTCCGCCGTGACTTCTTCATTGTGTATTTTCCTAAACAAGTCAGACAAACATTAATGTTAAATATATCAGGCTTAAAGGAAGATTTTAAAATAGCTAGTAAAAGCTACTTCTGTCCATATGAATTTTCTACATTTCATAAAAGCGTTAAATCTTGTTATCTGCTGGAATCATAATCTGTAACGTAAGCTGAACATCCCCTTCTTTGTTCATAGATTTTATATATAATGGACAGTGAATGTCTCACCATGGTGCAGGCCATTCTTTTGGTACATGTTGCTGGGAAGCGTGTCTCTGTCCCATTCGGAGGGTTTCAGCATGCGCTCCTGTTTGGATGGGATGAGCTGCTCGCTATACTCCCAAAAGTATCGACGCTTTCCCCTCTTCCTGGAAATTCCAGCCGTCAGGCCTTTGACATCATCACCCATATCAGTGTCACATCCTGTTTAAAAGATAGGATGGTAATGAGGCGATGAAAGAAATGAACAATGATCTTTTCCTAGCCTGCATTTAAAAAAAAACACTAAACCATAATAATCTCGTAAATGCACAATCATAATTCTCAGTTCAACCATAACAAGTCACAAGGGCTCTTTCAAGATATTAGTAGCGTCCCATTTTCAAATCAGGGCAGTTTTCATTAGGGATGCACACAATATTAAATACGAGTTCTGATACTTCTGTTTTGGTATTTGCTGTTATGTATACTAGTATTTCAGTAACGCTATCATTTTCAAGTACAGTCCAGTGAGACTGATGATTATTATTTTCATCAAATATTAACTTAAACAGCAAATACAGGAGACTATAGCAGCATAACGCAATAAGTAAAATTGCAATGTTTACAAACAACTTTTGCAACACTTCCATTTCCTTTAGATCAACCTAAAAAAAAAAAATTTGCAGGCTTCTTGACAAGCTGACTAGCGAACAAAACATTGCAAGACAAAAAAATGTCCAGTGAGTGGCATTTCTAATTCTTGTTTTTGACAGGTGGGTCTCTTCAGTTTCCAACAGGATGGGTGGAGGAGGACACACTTAGAGTTTGACACAAATTATCATACTTCAAAGATCCCTATCTAAATGTTTTCTGTCATCTTAACTGCCGTCACTAGGTCTGCACTATTTGACAAATTCAAACCTGAAATTGCAAGCTGCTGCAATTAATCATATGCACTAGTCAAAAGAGTTTTACAAAAGTAAAATATGCATAATGCAATTTAATAAATAAATAAATACACATTTACTTCGCTATCTAAATGGGGACATTCCATAGACATCAAATATTATAAACGGAAACTTAAACATGCTTGCATGATGCACAAGAACCAATGAAGTTTACTCTTAAACAATCGAGCAAGTACGGTTAAAATTCAGATTACCATTTTCGATGTGCTCTATGTATGTGAGTTGATCAATGTTTATATGTGAATGAAAGCCTAAATTAAATCTGGTCATCTTATAAAGCGATCCTGTCTCTTCAAAAGATTTGGATTAAATCACACAATCTGTATGCATTACTTTTGCAATGTCTTTTTAAAATGTTTAATAAAATGGAGTGGAATGGACTTTTAATGGATAGATAGAAATCTCTGAGGTTTAATTTAAAATATCTTAATGAAACACATGAATCAAAATGGTTTTGGAAAAACATGAATTTTCATTTCTGGATGAACCATCCCTTTAAAGGGAAGAATGCAGGTAACCAAGTTTATGGTCCCCATTGTCTAAAATGTCTAAAATTATTAGCTCCATAATGCCACTCCAAATAAAAAAATCACGAAGAGATTCACGCCTTTAAGAACCTATACATGAATTTGCTTTTGGGTGGCATCACAATAACTGATTGTAATTTATGTCATTTTTATGTATAACCAAGTATTGGATAAGATCATCTGTTACTTTCACTTCCCCTTGGTTATCTGCACACAACCTTACAATGCACTTTCCAAATGCCTAAGTCCTAAAATGAACTGGATTTCCCAATGCTACTCGAGAGCAATGACATTCTAGGAGAATTAATGCTATATATATTCTCTCTTCCTGCTCACTCAGTTGTAGGCCTATTTGTGCTAAATGTACTGTGCACTCGCTTGGTGGCATTGAATTTTGTACCTCCGAAAGTCTGAATATACAGCACAGCATGTATTGATAGAAGTATCATTATCAATGCATCCCTAGTTTTTATGCATTTGGCTACAACAGCATCAACAAAAACATAATTTCGCACCTGGCTCTGAGAATGCATCACTAACGTAGTCGTCTTTGTCGCCCTCATAGTCCTCATCATCCTCCTCCTCCTCCTCCTCCTCTTCCTCTTCCTCTTCATTCTCCGAGAGCTCATGTTCACTGCCAAACCCTTCATCATGGTCTTCATCATCTAGATCCAATCCCTCTGCCTCCTCCTCTTCTTCCTCTTCTTCCTCCTCTTCTTCCTCCTCTTCCATGTCAGCAGTCGCCTTCCCTGCCAGCTTGGCCCTGGTTAAGAATAACGAGTAGTTGTGCTCTTCCTCCTTCTTTTTGTCAGCGGCAGACGTGTCGGATCCAAGGGCACTCACGGTGAGCAAGGTTTCACTGCCGGCAGCTGCAGGGAAGTGCAGTTTGTGTGGCACCGTCCTCAGGGTCCCTATTTCTGGACCAGGACAAGTCGGTACCTCTCGTTTAGGAGTCTCCACTCTCTTTTCGCAGTTAATGGAGGATGCCGTGTTAGCAGCGACGACGGCTGGGTCCTCGCTGACCTGCGAAGCTGACGACTCATGCTCCTGGATAAGAGGAGAGGCAGAAACGCTAATTTGGGTGGAGCTCTCTACTATAGGCTTTCGTGGTACGCTGATGCGAACCTTGGCTTTGCGCACGTAATCCATGTTGTCCAGAAGTGCGGGCGAGGCTTTGCTAGAGCCCTGAAGCTGGGCCTTGGCCATTGTGTCAGTGCTGGAGGGAACAGGCCAGGTAGCTTTCTGGGATCCCTCTGGGAAGTCCGGCAGAGGGTTGCGACTCGATGAGGCGCTGGTTGCAGAGCTGCTGAGTTTGTTGGTCTTCTTGGCCACGGTGGGAGGTGGAAACAAAAGCTGCTTTTGACCCACCAGCAAGTCCGGATGGTAAAGAGTGTCACAAACTGGCTGCGAGTCCTCACTGTTGAGCTGGGCCAGGGTCGGTGTCCGACCTATCACCTCCTCGTCTTGGTAAGGGCTGGAAAAGTCATCAAGGCCCAAGAAATCAACTTCCTTGGTGCCCCAGATATCACAACTGGTGAGGCGAGTGTATTTAGTCAAGTCCTCCCAGTATGTGTCCCACTGCTCAAAGTTTGAGCAATAAGCAGGGTCGTTGTCTACCAGCTCAGGTAGATGATCCATGCAGTCCAAGTCTTTGCAGTCTCCGACTGTGAAAATATCTCCTCTAGGGCTCTGGCGACAAGTCATGTCCCGATCCTGCAAACATTCAAAAACGTAACTCAACTTTGTACCCATTGTCATTAACATAACCCTGCGTAATCTTGTACCACCTTTTACACTGTCTAGACTTTACCTTGAGTTTGTAATTAATTCTGGGTTGTCAGGTTTCAAGATTTCACATAGCTCATTTGTAAGCCCTGTGTTAACGTTCTTATTTGCATATTTACGAGGTTAGTAACTTTAATTGGACAAGTACAGTATGCAGCCTGGTTTAATGACTGCTTGTCCATTTGTGGAAATGTTGCCACAACTACTTTTGGCTATCTTCTGAAACACTATGCAAAAACAATACTGTCAGTTTGTCACTTTACACATGACCCAATGTGTAATCATTGAATTAAATGAACTAAATGTAATAAAATGCTCAGAGTTTGGGGCCCATTATAGGGAGTCTCAGCAAACGTCCAAGTGGGCCCCAAGATGACTTGTGTGATTTCTAGACCTGGAAAAGTCATGCAAATTAATAATTTAAAACACCATGGCCAATTTCATAAAGAATATACATTTTTCTAATTATGATCAGCTCCAAAATATGTTATCAGGCAGAAATTGTGCATAATTTACATGGCCACATTTCATAGTCATTCCCTCGTTTTAGATAAAGTGTGGTCACCATTTCATTCCCTCATTTTAATTTAGTGAAATTTAGCTACAATTTAACTAAAACAAAGAAACAAATTAGTTAAACATATCTTGTTTTGTAGTGTGAAAAGCCTCTAGGTATGAATAAAACCTGAAAGAGTATTACTGTGTGTATGAACTCACCAGTTCATACATGAAATCTGGGTCAGAACTGTTAGCCAACATGTCTGTGCTGGTCAGTGCCTGGTCAGTAAAAGAGCAGTTTTGATAGGCATCCCCAAAGGGAGTATCCATTCCGCTAATGCTGGGCTGTAAGATGAAAGTAAGAAAAGCATCCCATGACAACTATTTCAAAATACCTCAACGGGCACCCAAATTTGAAAGACAGGGCCCATACCAGAGGCATTGCAGAGCACAGATCTTCAGTTCCTTGACGGAAACTTTTCTGCCACCTCCCCTGTCTCAGTCGCCCTATCTTTTCGTCAATCTCTGGAGGAAATTTGATTTTAAGCATAAAAAAAAAAAGAGTTCTTGTTTTCAATATGGAGGCTTTAGCAGCACATTTAAGTGTGGCTGAGTTGTCCTCCTCACTTGACTGTTGTCTGTGGAAAGAAAACAGAACAGGAGAGCAGTTAGCTAGCACAAATGTTACAATAACACACACTATCTGCACAAACATCGGTGCACAAAACAGGACACTCGGCCTGCGCAGTCCGGTAAAGCAAGTCTATAAACAAAATGTCACTTACAAGCTGTGAACTGGCACAGCCTATGAAACACAGAGGAAACTGCTGTCAAAAACAACTGTGTGCTGACATTAGAACAGCCACAGACAGGTTCGTCTCATAGACATCAATGCTTTTTTGCATCTGCAAACATCCGCAGAAAGACTGGGGTTTTCCTAAAAAGGTCCAGCTATGGTCGAAAAAGTTAGGGAGGTTGCCTGAGATCCATGGAGGAACAGAAGGAAGCCCTAAATCGTGTTGGGCGGCAATAGTGCAAGAGCATCGAACACTAGGGCTATTTTTAAAACAACATCAGTGGAACCCTTTCCCCTCGACAGACAGACAGCCAGCCAGCGAGACCCGAAATGTTGGACACTCTTTGCATAACAAATCAACAGAAATACGTCGGAGCATGTGAGGTTTGTGCTGGCCAGCTTCAGCGCTGAGCAAAACAATCCTGTCTGTCTTGTGCCTGATGACATAATTTCCTCCTGGTGCACCGACAGCGAGTCAAATAAGCATCTTATCACCCTTTGGCTTTGTGCACGGCAGGGTTTGCATACAGCCCACAGAACCAGAGTGAGAAAAAAACACACTGAAAAACATTTCCCTTCAGCGCTCCACTATTCTACTGCTTACTCACCAATAGCCTACAAAAAAGATCTCGATTTTTAAACTCTGCAAAGACAATGTGAGTGGTGCAAAACTTTGACTGGTTGTTAGGGCGTTCTGGTTGGGTTTCAGCACATTGCTAAGAGGTATCTAGGGTGTTTTGGGTGGTTTCTAAGGAGTTGCTAGGGTAGTTACTTACTGGCCAAGCCTCTTCAACAAGCCACACAATTTGAAGTATCATTATTTTCGCTAACCCAAAAGAAGAGTTCACAATTAAAGCAATGTACAGCGACAAAGTGACCTGTAGTCATTCATTTTCAATGAGAGCTCCCAGTTTCCGACAACATGAGCGACATTAACCACTGACAACAGGATGTGGGAGTTTAACTTTTAAATTTAAATTCATGCAAATGAACACCAACTCTTTGGAACAAATAGTACCAAATGGAGTAAAGTCAGAGTAAGAGTTTGATTCAAGCATTCATAACTATTGTTCATATGAGATTACACACCGCTGTAATTTAAATACAAAAGCTTTCTCTTCATAATGCAAATTTTGAGCAAAAAGAAAACGGTCCTTGCATCTGAAAATACGTACTTTCCAAATATAAACAGTATGGGAATTAATTAGTACGCCTAGATTCATATGGTGCGTTCAAGTCAAGTAAAAATGATTGTATTTATGAGCTAAACACATATAAATGCCATCACAATGTCGTAATTCCAAGTGGGAAACTTGTATTTTCACATTCATACTATAAAGAACATACGTTTTTAATGGTTATGGCGTTCATCGCCACAAAGTACCTTGTTCTATGCTAAGCTAGTAGGCAAACAGAAAGCACAAAGAACAGAAAACGTTTAGCCTTTTAGCGTGACACTTAAAAGACATTAACATAGTTTCATGATCACCAATTAATACTAATTGGGCACCTAACTGAATACTCATAAAACCCACTGTCTTTGTCAGTGGAATATTGTGTTACAGTGAAGATGTATTTTTGTAGTTCAAACCAGAAGTTAGCATTACCCTTGTTTCCTCCACCAAAACCCAACAGGATTTTTCCATTGGCTTTTAGATTATTGCATAAAATAAGCTCTGTGACCAACAAAAGTTTATGATTCTTAAAGCTGGAATACACTACATGACTTTTGCCCAGATTTACAGTCTGGACAAGTCGACGCTGGTTGTCAAAAGTCAGAGCAAGTCTGCAGATTTGAATAGACAAGATTTCATAGAACATTGCATAGTGTATCACGGCCATAGTGTATCATCGTGTAGTGCAGGGCTGCCCAAACTCGGTCCTGGAGGGCCGGTGTCCTGCAGAGTTTAGCTCCAACTTGCCTCAACACACCTGCCTTTAAGTTTCTAGTATGCCTAGTAAGAGCTTGATTAGCTGGTTCAGGTGTGTTTAATTGGGGTTGGAGCTAAACTCTTCAGGACACCGGCCCTCCAGGACCGAGTTTGGGCAGCCCTGGTGTAGTGCATTCCAGCCTTTACACGTTGTGTTATTCATGCTAATCATCACAACTGAACACAACAACTTTTATGAATATTAAAGCCTAAATGCAATCGTCAAACATACGAAAGTTAAACGTAGGATATAAACGAACTACACCACAGTCACATGACTTCAACTTCACCAACATTGAACCTCAGACAACTCTTTAATACTGTAATTTAAAAAAACTAGGAGCACCATTACACACAATAAGTCTGAAAAATGTGAACTAGTAATTAGATGAGTTTACTGTTTGACTTTTAATGTCCCAGACCTCTGTAGTCCCGTTTAGCTTTTTCAAGACAAATCAATACTTATAACACTTAAACTTAAACTATTAACAAAACGCCGTTTTGTTTATGTTGCAGAATAAAACACAAAAATATCTCGAGTTTGTGTTAGAGACATTATTTCAGGCATTTACCAAAAAAACAATTAAAAAAACCTATTGAATTCAGGACAATGAAACCATAGGTAGTAAATTTCTAACTTATTTCTGGGGTTGAACATCATCAAAACATCATCCCAGAAGCTCTTTATAGCTTTGGGGTAGAAGAAGGATAGGATTCTGTGGGGGAATCGAATCTTTGGATTGGTGTATTCCAGGAATACGAATGTAGGAACGTAAACACAGCAAAAGGTACAGTGAACTGACAGGTTCCAGCGACAAACCTGTGAACAGTGTGGACATAAGTATGAGCAATAATACTACTGATTTGCATCGAGCACTCCTACAACAACCAACATGTAGGCTACATCGGTCAAAACTGGGGCTGGGCTGTTAATGGACATTATGGGGCAATTCTGTCTGGAATTGTGATCAGACATCTGTATTTGGAAACTGAAATGAGGAAGAGGCACAGGCTGTATGAGCAATGCAGCCAAAATATATATCCACCTGTTGTGATAACTCTTATCGCTATAAGGAGGGCAATGTGGAGGAACGTCTACCCAGCAGACCTACATTCACAGTACAGTATCACTGAAGAGATCAGGATTTACACGTTATTTACCAATATTAATTTTGATATGCTAGCCTACAAAGGACAAATAGCAACACGTTTGATGATGTGAAAATACAGAAGGACAGATGGAGCCGAGAGAAAGAGAAACAGAGCAGCTGATACTGATTATCTTGTGTAGTAAACAAGCATTGTTCTCATGAATACAAGTCCCTGAGCGGCTGAAATGAAAGGTCTCTCAATAGGATCTGGGAATAACAGACTATAGATCAGAGGAAACATGAGACCACTGCTTTTGAAATGATGGTTTTGCACTGTATACCCTTACTGGAAAATGCCATTTCAAAATGGCAACTGATGGAGTATTAGGTTAGCCAATCAAATCCCAGTTTGATTTGGCAAAGTTTCACCTCAGTGGGGAATATCACAAAATCAAAAAAATGTAATTAGCATTGATTTGGTTAAAAAAAAAAAGAGGATGATTTCCATTACTGTAATATATATATGTATATACACAATTATATAATGCACACTATCGTTCCTAAGTTTGGGGTCGTTAAAGGGATAATTCACCCAAAAATTTAAATTACCCCACAACTGACTTACCCTCCTCAAGCCATCCTTGGTGTATATGACTTTCTTCTTTCAGACGAATACAATCAAGAGTTATATTAAATAATTGCCAGGCTATTCCATGCTTTATAATGGGAGTGGATGGTAGCCCAAAATTTGAAGTCCAAAAAATAGCACCCATCCATTATAAAAGAAGTCCACACGGCTCCGGGGGGTTAATAAAGGCCTTCTGAAGCGACGCGATGCGTTTGTGTAAGAAAAATATCCATATTTACAACTTTATAAACCTTAATCTCCAGCTTCTGCTAACTGTCGTACGCACGTTCACGAGAGAGTGGAGTCCAGCGGATGACGTAGGCGTAGCGTAAACTCCTACAATCAAGAGTTAAAAAAAAAATGTACTGAAAAAAATAAATAATTTCATTTTATTAAAAAAAAATATCCTGGCTCTTCCAAGCTTTATAATGGCAGTGAATGGGGGGCAAGATTTTTAAGCCCAAAAAAGTGCATCCATCCATCATAAAAAGTACTCCACACGGCTAAAGGCCTCCTGAAGCAAAGTGATGCACTTTTTTGGGCTTCAAAATCTCAACCCCTTTTCACTGCCATCATAAAGCTTGGAAGAGCCAGGATATTTTTTGGGCTTTTATCATTGACCTCAGATATGTGACCCTGCCTGTGAAAACCCAGCTAAAGTCTTTTTTTTTGTGTGTGATTTACTGTTTTCTACATAAAATCATTCTTCGTAAAGATGTAGAACATTCTGTGAAAACATAATCTTTATATCTTTAATATTGACTGAGTAAGGCCATGTCAAAGATTGAAATCATAGTGAAATTAATGGTTGAAATCAAACTTTGATGTTTGTTACCTCATAATTAGATGTTGAGACTTTAGCCTGGATTTCACAGAGAGGGTCACATATTATAAAACACACCTGTAAAGTAAACCATAATGGATCACATAATACATAATGGATGATATATGAGCCTATCCATGTACTTGTAGTGTCTCTTGATTTCAAAATCAACCCTTTTGAGTAGAGATGCACCGATCAATCGGCCAGGGATCGGAATCGGCCGATTTTCCTCATGATCGGCCCGGATCAGTGACCGGCCGATCAGTCCCACTTCTTTCCGATTTCGAGCCGATCCGTTTTGTTACCAGTGGGCAGCGGCACAGGCAATAACGTCAGCCGCGCATTCTCGCTCTCTTGTCTCTGACGACC